GAAATACAGACTGGCACTGTAACAAACCAGCACTCCAGACATCTCTAGTCATAAAATCTGACTTGTTTGCAGGGACGAGGTGGACATAAGAGGCCTGGAAGACAGATCTTCCAGCGTGCAGTTCAAGCTGAGTGCTTGGGAGCAGTGGATTGTGGATAAAGCCAAAGAGGAGCGTATCGGAAAGCAACAAAAAGCTATGGAGGTACATGGCACTGCTGCATGAGTATTTATGGGGATATTTTATGCTATTATTACTATTTTCAGCAGTGGATTTTAGACACATGGTCATTTTTATTTTACTTTTATATGCACTACCATTCAAAGTTTTTTTTTTTTAATAAATAAATTAATACTTTTATTTAGCAAGGATGCATAAAGTTAATTAAAAGTGACGATGTATAATTTTACAAAAGATTTCTATTTCAAATAAATGCTGGTTTTTTACATTTCTGTTCATCAAAGAATCCTGACAAAAATATGAAGCAGCACGACTGTTTTCAACTGATAATAATCAGAAATGTTTAGTGAACATCAAATCAGCATATTATAATGATTTCTGAAGATCATGCGACACTGAAGACTGGAGTAATGATTCTGAAAATACAGCTTTGATCACAGAAATAAATTACATTTGAAAATAATATTTAAATAAAAACAGTTATTTCAAATTGTAGTCATATTTTACAATATTACTGTTTTTTCAATGTATTTTTTGATCAAATAAATGTCAGCATAACATACTTTTTTTTTCAAAAACATAGAAAAATTATTTTGAACTGTAGTGTCTTTAAATATTTATATAAATAAATAAATATTAAAAGGGATAGTTCACCCAAAAATGAAAAGTCTGTCATTAATTACTCACCCTCCCGTCATGCATTAATTAAGGTCTGTATTTCAGGAGCTCACACTGAAGGAAAAACGGAACGAGAAGGAACAAGAACAGCAGAAGAAGACAGTTGTCAGTGATTGCAAAATTCAAGAGTGGCTGCAAATGAAACGAGAACAGGTGATGACCTCCGTGAATCTCCCAGAGCGAACTCTAATTGTCAAATTAAAATTGAGATTTTCTGGCTATTTTGAGAATGGGGTCTGATCTCCTGAAGGCCCTTCTCGTGATTTTACTGTGTTTTTGTGCTTAGGAAAAGAACGAGAGAATGTCCAAAGGGTTTCAGAAAAGCAAAGAACAGCTTCAAGAGGAGAAAAGACGTGCTGAGATTGAAAAGAAAGCTCAGGTGAAATATAAGGAGTGGCTGCGAAAGAAGAAGCAAGAAGAAATGGAGAGAAAGCTAAAAGAGAAGGTGTCCTGCAATCTGTCTGTCTGATGAGAAAACATATAGAAAAGAGCAGCGTGGGGAATTTTTCAAAACATTATTCCCGTTGAACGTCATGAGCGTGTGGAAATGATCACAGAATTGATCATTTTGGCTGAATTATTTCTTTAAAAGGAAGAGGCAGCCGGAAGAGAAGCAGAAGAGAGGGAGCGCAGAGAAAAGGCAGAGGAAAGCTTTAAAGAATGGCTAGAAGGTGTAAAAACAAAAGGAAAACTGAGCCGACAATCATCAGCATCCTCAGCCGGTGAGTGAGCAACAAATTCTTTAGCTTTATTCTAGAAGCTGCAAAGTAGTCATAAGAATGAGCAGGTGTATCCAGACGTTTCACTTGTAGCATATTTATGCATCACACTCTGAAAAATGTGTAAAGCTCCCTAAGTATGGAAGCTTGTTTGTCACAGATTAAAAAAAATGAAAAAGATAATTGCAATTTTTTGCGAGTTTATATCTCACAATTCAAATTTTTTTCTTGCAATTCTGAATTGTGAGATGACGGATTCGTGATGGAAATAAGCTTGACTTTGTTCTCGCTATTGCGAGTTTATATTTCACAAATCAGAATTTTTTTCTACACAATTATGAGATTATATCTCATGTTCTGACATTTTGACTTTTTTTTATTTTTTCAGAATTGCGAGAAAAAAGACTGAATTGCAAGATATAAACTCAGAATTGTGAGAAAAGTTGCAATTACCTTTTTTTAAAAGAAAGCTTAACTTTCTTTCTTGCTATTGCGAGTTTATATCTCACAATTCAGACTTGTCTTCTTAGAATTGTGAGCTTATATCTCAAAATTCTTTGTTTATATCACACAATTCCGACTTTTTTTCTCGCTTTTGGATTTTTTTTTTCTCAGAATTGTAAAAAAACAAACAAAAAAAAACTCAGAATTGTGAGATATAAAAAGTTGCAATTACCTTTTTATTTTTTTATTCTGTGGCGGAAACAAGCTTGACGGTTTTTTTTTTTTTTAGTTTATCTCACGATTCTGAGTTTACATGTCACAATTCTTTTCTCTCAGAACTGCGAGAAAAAACTGTAAGATAAAGACCCCCCCTTTTTATTAATTCCATGACAGTTCATAATATCAAGCACAAATATCCACACTGTAGATTCTGACAAACATGCAACATTGAGATTCAAAGCCAAAAATAATTTGAACGCTTTCAGGCAACTATAACAATGTGAACTATCCAGCTCCGAGTTTCGTCAACCCCATTCCCTGGAAACCCATTCACGTCCCACAGCAAGAGCGAACGCCCAGGAAGAGTTCGGCCCGTAAGAGAATGCCAGGACCACCAAAGAGCCAGTCGACCTCCTGTCTCACATACAGTCCTAAAGACACGATCAGCTTTGCTTGTAAAAGGCGGTGACGCTGACCTCTGCTGGTCTGAGTCCAGTAGTACCTCTTCTAAAGACTTGCAGCGTTTTTGTCAAGTATTTCCAAAGACTCTTCCTCTTCCATGATGTCATTCGGCATGAGTGAAGATCCAGCAGGAGGCTGAATTGTGTGTCTGCAGGCCTGATGTTATCTTTGTGATGGATTTAGCAGATGTCAGATTCCTCATCTGTCAGTTATGATTTTGACTTGTATATTTTTGGTTGAATGTTTGCTAATTAGAGAATACAGATGATTTTTTTTGTCCAAATAAAAGATCTTTGCAATTACAGTAATTGCCCAGTATTATTTGAGTTAAATGGTTCCATCCAAACATTTCCACATATCCATCTGTTAGCCTTTAAAGGTGGGGTAAGTGATTTCTGGTAGCCAATGTTTTTGTTTTTGAAATCACCAAAACAAACACGCCCCTACCCCAAAAGGGTCTCGCCCCTATTTTGATAGCTCCGCCCCACACATACGTACGCAACCAAGATTTTTTAATACTTTTGAAAGAAGTCTTTTCTGCTCATCAAGGCTGCATTTATTTGATGAAAAATACAGTAAAACAGTAATATTGTGAAATATTATTACTATTTAAAATAACGTTTTTTTTTTATTATTTGAATAGAATTTAAAATGTAATTTTTTCCTTTGAGTCAAAGCTGTATTTTCAGCATCATTACTGCAGTCTTCAGTGTCACATGATCTTCAGAAATCATTCTAATATGCTGATTTGATGAAACATATTAAACATTTTAAACAGGTTTTGCTGCTTAATATTTCTGTGGAAACCGTGATGCATTTTTTCAGGATTCTTTGATGAATAGAAAGTAGAGAATTTATTTGAAGTCGGAATCTATGTAACAATATAAATGTCTCTACTGTCAATTTTGATTAAATTAATCCATCCTTGCTGAATAAAAGTATTAATTTCTCTACATCTATTTAAACAACGTATACATAGCATATTTTTATTACCTCAAATTTTTTTAAAGTGAATATATAGAATATTTGTGCTAAAAAATAATTTGTTACACTGCAAGACCAGCAGTTATGGAGTAGGAGATGTACTTATACAAAAATTAAGAAATCAATTATTAATTAAAAAATGTCAATTTTTAAATGGACAAATTAATATGTATTTAAAATAAACAAATATTTAACATTTGGGGAAATAATAAATAAAAATAAATAAATGTATGTGGCTCAAAGACGAAAAAGGGTTTAAGCATAAAAACAATAAGTGTAATACTGCTTTAAATTGTTGTTGTTTTCCCCCACATTTTTAAAAAAGTTTTCTGTTTAATTTAATTGCAATTTTGTTTTTGTTTTTCCGAGCAAAAAATAAATATCATATATATTAAAAGACTAATTACTTTCACCCCAAATACTAATTAGTTGTAGATTTAAATTTTTAAAATGTGCCACTATCCTAGGTTTTGCCCATTTGTCAGTAAGAATTTTTTACTCATTTAAAACACAATCAAATGTAATAAGCTCACTTATTCTTTTATATATCTTAATATGTACAGGTCAGAATAAGCATGTTTAAATTTTTACATAAATATTGTGTTACACTGAATGACAATGTAACATTATTTCACCCAAATTTTGACGTTTTATCCTCCAAAAACTTATTTGAAACCTTAAAAGTAGACACTTTAATTACATTTAATGTGCTTTCTATGGACATAAAATCACTTTTGTAAATGTCTTTTAATGCGGACATCTTAACGTCTTTGACCCATGTACAAAAATATTTATTTTAAATGCAAGTTTTACTAAAATGCTATTTTTTTTTAGTTTATAGAAAAATACTCAAATCCACTTAGATGCTTTAACACCCACATACCAACACCTATTATGACCATTTTTTTTAATATGGGCAAATACTCATGTTTCCTTTTAAAAATTTGAAAAATAAAATAGTCTAGTTACACATGTACGTTGTGCATGTGCATGATTTTCAAAGCAGTCAGTGTTTGCACTCATGGTACAGTAGACTGCCGTGGTGTAGTTTAACAAAAGACTTGATTCTGAGTCGAACAGGAGGAGTCATTAACTGGCTTATCTGCATTTCCCCGAGTCAACTTCTGACCAGACACAAAGACCTCTGACCTCTGGACCGGGCCGAGAGCCAGACGCACCCCTCACACAGATCAGTGCATTGTCCGGCGTGCAGCGGTGCCTTGTGTTCATTTCAGCTTGTGACGTGAGTGTGTGTGGGTGTGCATTCACAGTTTACACACAGTACTGTAGATTTCATCCCTTCACATTCTCATAAACACACTGGAGCAGAGATACTGTAAGTGCCACTATATATTCCTTCTGTAGTGTATAATACTAGTTTATAATGTGCAACTAGTCAAGGATGTGACAGACTGATCATTTATTACGGTGATTGTGTGTAATAGAGCCAGACGGCATACGCTGGAGTGAGTTATGTTTATATCCGGTTCTGCTGAGCAAAGGTCAACTTTCAAGACAGCAGTGCTGCTTTGCTTTTGATTTGTAGTCTAGCGCTTTCTAAGATACATATGTATTCAAGTCTTTGTCTTTACCTGAGAATAAGGTTAAGGTGGTTTAGGAACGAGATAACAGGCTTTCTCATATGTAACACTTTCAATATGCATGTTTTCTTTCCCAATAGATTGCAATATCTGTAAACAAACTGCAATTCCCAGAGATGCAGTGGTGCAGGTGGGCAGGCGACTGGACGTCTCGCCTCCAGACGCAGGTAGACAGGGGTGTGTCTGTTTGCATTTGACTGAGTGTTTCACAGAAAGCAAAGGACGTGGCCGAGAAAATGAGTCAGTGTTGAGTTAATGCTGTGTGACGAGGTCGACTCACTTTGTTTAGGCACTATGGATTTCTTACTACGTTATTTTTAGCGCTAGCTTACAGAAAAGGCCTGTCTTTGAAAAATAGATTGCAGATATGGTGAAAATAGCACTGGAACTGTGACATTTGTGCCCTGGATGAATCATTTCGTGGTCTGTGGGTCACAATCCGCAAGTATTTATTGCAGAAATGCAGTCCACAGGGCAGGAGGATGAAGACCGCTGTGACTTTCTGTTCAAGATCATCCTGACTGGTGACAGTAATGTGGGAAAGACCTGCGTGATCCACAGCTTCACGTCTGGGCTCTTCAGTGACAGCCAGCACAACACTATTGGAGTGGACTTCACCGTTCGCACGATAGACATCGATGGGATGAGAGTGAAGGTGAGCACTCTGATTTATGATTTTTCAGAGTTTCAGCGGTTCTTTGGGGGGCCCTTAAATTCAGTAAAGAACTCTTCTTATGAAGGCTGTATAGAGATATACAGTGGGTACGGAAAGTATTCAGACCCCCTTAAATTTTTCACTCTTTGTTATATTGCAGCCATTTGCTAAAATCATTTAAGTTAATTTTTTTTCCTCATTAATGTACACACAGCACCCCATATTGACAGAAAAACACAGAATTGTTGACATCTTTGCAGATATTATATGTATGCATTAATTTCATGTTAAAAAGTTTATTTTGTTTTCATAGGGGAAATAATTAATAATTATATACATTTCTTCAAGAAATATTTTTGTATTATTTTATTATATTTTTATTTTTATTACAAATTTTATAATATATAAAATGCATTATTATTATTATATTTTTATAGGATAAATATATGTATACAATTATATAGCTAAACAATGTGTGTGTATATATAATTAAATCAAGACAAAATAATATTTTATTTCTTGATAATAGTATTAATGAGTATATATTATTATTATAAATATACAGATATTTTTCTATAAAAATAGAATAGTACAGACCGAAAAATTAAAGAAATAAAATTAAAATTGGAGTCCATATGATTTCTGTCCATTCTTCAGTCTTGGATGAATTTGATGTGAAATGTTTGATATTGACATCTGACCTTTGACTGCAGAGTCATACCTTCTGACTGTATCTTAGCAAAGTTTGAGACAGTGTTGAGATCTCTTCAGTAGACGTGAGATTACTGGAGTCTTTTTCTCAGGAGCCTCATTGAGTCTCACTGCTGTCTAGAAGAGACACTTGAGAATTTAAAGAGGCGTAATTTATATTTTTTGTATTTGTGTCTGTGTGGATCTGTGTGATGTTCTTGAGCTCAGATGCAGGTCTGGGACACAGCGGGACAGGAGCGTTTCCGCACCATCACACAGAGTTACTACCGAAGCGCTCACGGCGCCATGATCACGTACGATCTGACCCGACGACCCAGCTTTGAGTCTCTGCCGCACTGGATTCAGGGTGTGGAGCAGTATGGAGCCGCCAATGTCGTCTTCGTTCTGATAGGTCAGAGCTGCGAGTCCCAAACTTTTCTGTCAGCCAGCTGAACTCCTTTCACATAAAATATTTACTTGAACTACCCCTAAGGTTTTAGAATAAATATTTCAATAATCTAACAAGACATTCACATGTGCACGGTTGTCTGATATTGGTTAATGGTCACATGATATGCAGGTGAATTAAATATTAAAATAAAAAATATATACATATATAATATATAAATAAATACTTATTTTTATTTCATCTTCAATATTTAATATTTTCTGCAAAAAATATATAACATTAATAAATTAATTAAATTAATTCATAAATTAAATTCATAAATATAAATACAAATGTATTCTATTTTTATGAGACAAATATGTTCTTGTATTTTTCAAGATATATATATACACACACAGTGGAGATCAAAATTAGAGAACAATCTATAAATACTTAATTTTTTCTGAAATATTGTTAATCTTCATCACTCAAAATCTGAAGGAATATTAGCTGTACTATTACACTAAAATGTTTGATAGAATAACCCAGACATTTCAACAAAAACATTTATTTTGTGGAAAACACAGAGATCAAAATTAGAGAACAGTAATCACTGTAGCACGGAAGAAGATTACAACTAATATTTTGGAGGGTTACTGCTGTCAATTTAAATGACTTCAGCACATCAGCGGCCGCAGGACATCACTGCGCTGGTATGATCTTGGTCCACTCTTCTTCAGTCTCTTCCATAGTTCGGTAACTGTAGTGGGTTTCTTAGCCATGTTGCCATGAATTTTTCCAGAGATTTTGCTGAAGGAGGTTCTAATAAACATTTGCATTCACCTGCCATGTGTCTGTATAAGAGGCACAACTCCTGCTGCAGAAAACATCCCCAAACCATGACACTTCCTCCTCCAGCTTTCACTGACTTCTTTACGCACTCTGGGTTCAGTCTTTCCCCAGTTTGACGCCAAACAAAATGTTTCCCATCAGACCCAAATAAATTAAACTTGCTCTCATCACTAAAGTGAACTTTGGACCAGTTCTCCTCTCTCCACACAACATGCTCCTCAGCAAAGGCGAGTCTAGACTTTTGATTCTTTCTGCTGATGAGAGGCTTGATCACTGCAGAGTGCGCTTTCAGTCCAACTTCTCTTAAACATGCCGAGACAGATCCGTACCCTGTTCAGCACTGAACTGGCAAGTAATTCCAGCTGCAGTGTTGAACCCATTCCCCATCGAGTCTCCACATTATCCTGTCATCCCTTTGGTCTTGTGTGTGTGACTATTTTATGATTTAATTTATTGTTAGCTTATTAACTCTCAACCCCCAGTTTGGGCAGATCTGTAACAGAGAATGAGACCGATTCATTCATGTTATTTTTTTAGTTCTTATCCAATTTTTCTTTTAAATCTCTACGATTGGTTATTAGCGTCAAATCTTTGAAAGCTACTCAAGATAGATGCTTGAGAACTTCTGCAGCAAATAAACTAGATATTCATGATTTATTTTGCGTCCTGCAGGTAATAAGTGTGACCTGGAGGCACAGCGGCAGGTGCTGTTTGAGGATGCGTGCACGCTAGCGGAGCGCACAGGTGCGCTGGCGGCGCTCGAGACCTCCGCCAAACAGCATCACAACATCGAGGAAGCGTTCGAACTGATGGCGCGGGAACTCATAGTGCGGTACGGAGGAGCAGTCCATCAGGACAGCCAATCAGATTCACCGACTGTTTTCCTGCACTCGGACTCTCATCCAATAGATGAAGGAGAACACCTGGAGAAGAGGCCATGTGACTGCTGACTGACAAGCTGACCCACAAGTTTTTGAAATTTTCGTCATGTTAAAAATCTGTGTCCTTTGGTGCAAATATTGGTCAACTGCTTTCCACCTTATTTTTAAGGTAAGAACGGACGCAGCCGTTTGTAACTTAAATGTGCGAGGCTTCCGGTGTCATTCGCTTCAAGTTATTGAAACAGTCTGTTATGCTGCTTTAAGTGGTATTTAGTTATCATATTATTTTCATTTATTATCATAATCATAAACATACTGTTTTGTTGCTCAAATAGCTTTACCGTTAGTTAGTAGTTAGTTACTTACCTGTAGCGCAGGGGTGTCAAACTCAATTCCTGGAGGCCCGGAGCCCTGCAGAGTTTAGATTCAACCCTAATTAAACACACCTGATCCAGCTAATCAAGTCCTTCAGGCTTTTTGAAATCTACATGGTATGTGTGTTGGAGCGGGGCTGGAACTAAACACTGCAGGGCTCCGGTCCTCCAGGAACTGAGTTTGACACCCCTGCTGTAGCGGCTAATGAATTGGAAATCTTGCATATTGCACACTATAATTACTATAAGCTGTCATTCATTTCAGTTTATCGCGATCTCACAAAGATATTTACACCGTGTCTACACTTTGTTACTAAAACGAGAGGATTCGTTGAAAGGAACTCAGCACTGAACAAATTCTAAGCGTTGAGTGGATTCCGACGGTTCTGATTGGCCACTAAGTTCCAGAAATTCAACAGATATGTCTGTGATTGGCTATATTGCTCAACGCTGTAAAACACATTGTAAATATAAACATTTGACGCCTTCCTGAGCGCAAACAAAAATACGCACTTGGATCATTTGCCAGATCGGTTTCACCAATATCATACTTTTACAGCCTCAACGTTTTAAGCACCCCATGCAACCGGGCCTGCGCTAAATATGGTGGATGTGGAGTAAAAACAAATCAGAGATCTCAGAAAATGTAAAATTGCATTTGATGAATTAACTCTGTGAACGTGTATACAAGTACAATATTACGGATTACCTCTTATGGGACGTGTATTTTGCAGTAGGTTGTGTTGAGTACAATAAAATGTTAAAAACTGTCAATAAATGCATTTTGTTCTCTAGTAACACTAAACAATATAGGCTATTTAAAGGACTAGATATGAATTCAGAAATTTGTGTGTTAAAATGTTAAAAACAAACGAAGAATAATCACGCGGTTTGTCACAGATCAGTGTTGTCCTACGATCCGTTCACACAGAATGCGTTCAAAAACAGCTAGAAAGAACAATTGCAAATGTAAAACAGTTGTAAAAGTTGAACTATTTTCACCTTGAATTACATCTGAAAATACAGTATGACATGATGCACAAAACACCTGACTCATGTACATAAGACAATTAAAAAACAGCGCTAACAAAACACAAGTGTGAACGGCGCTTAAGTGGTACAGTGTTATACAGCAAACCTAAGTGTTCAGATTTACACAAACTAACTGAGGCGTACGTGAACTTTTAATGGCAAATATTTCAGAGAACACACACATTTCCATCTATTGGAGGAAAGAAAAAAAAAACGTCCTCCTGTCAGTGCCATCGTGTTGTTTCTTCATTAACTAGTATGGCTTTGTGGATGAACGTCTTTCCTTCCTGCAAGCGTTTAACATCGTGCTTGTGAAAGTATCACGCTGAATCTCTTTCAATGCTCTGTTTGAGCTCATAACAACGGACCCACAAGCCACCTGAGGGTACGTCCTAACTTTTAAGTCCTGTCCCAAATGGTGCACTTGATTTAAGCTTGTCTAGATGGTACACGTCATTCTGCGAAACTCATTCATACCTAATAACTGCTACATTTAATTCAAATTAGGGCTGGGCGATATAGCTACAAAATGTATCAATGATATAATGTTTCCTATCATTCGGTATCGATAATTATTGACATTTTTTAGAACCTTTTTTAAAACAAAGAGCAATAGAATTTTTTTTTTATTTAACCGCTGTATTTTTAAATTAACCCAATTTATTGAGACAAACAACAAATATTTTTTGTTTTAACAATCAAACACAAAATAAAAATTAAACAAATATCTAATTTCTAATGTTTTATATGCAGATTAAATAGGTCTTGAGGAAACTTTTAACTTGTTTCCCGAGGCCACAGGAGGGCGCAATGAACAAAATAATGTCAACGCAAGGAAGTAACTCTATAAAAAAATGTGCATTACGTCTAAATTATTAACTCTGTGGGCTAGACTAACAAAACATTAAAATGCAACAACGTCATGTTTACATCATCACCGCATCTCGTGCGCCACTGATGACGCTCCCTGATGCACACCTAACATTGCAAATGTTTATTTTAAATTCGACTAATATTCATTCTTTATTCACAATCTCCTCATCACAGACAGGCATAGCACTCAATTCAGCATGTGTTCGTGTTCGTCACTCATAGCACGTGCCTATATCGAAAAAAATTTCTATCGTTATCGAAGGTGTACCGTCGATAAATATCGATACCGTTTTATCGCCCAGGCCTAATTCAAATTACACCGTAATTTGTTCCTTTTGTGTTGCATGGGGCTCATTGTCCCTTAAGAACCTCGCAAGACTTTTGCAGAATGATGGTTACTGCCTAGACAAGATTGAGCATGATGGCATGATTTGGGACAAGGCCTAACACCATTAACATACTTGAGGAAGTGTCAAAGCGAATCATCTTAAACACGAACAACAGCAAGGTCAACAGCAAACTTCAGTAACAGTAAAATGGATAAAAAACACTGTATCTAAAGTTTGGTTTATTTTTAATAAAACTCCACTAGCATAAAAATTGACGTTTTATGTAACTGCGTAAAAATACAATTCGTTGAAGCCCATTTCTGCTTTACAGTTAAAAAGGTAATTGTGACTTAATATCGTCCAACTGCTGTTGCTTGTAATTGCGACTTTATATCTCACAATACTTTATATGTGATTGGGATTTTCACATGAGGGCAAAAGATTTCCCCACACAGATTTCGCAAAGAGTTCAAGCTGGTCACACAGATTCTCCACACTGACCAACAGAAATGACCTTGGTTCATAACATTTACAACTTTACATGTGACCACATCTTAAGAAATAAGAAAAGTTGCATTGTAAGATATAAAGTCACACTGAGAAATACAGTCGCAATTATGAGCAACAAAGTAGCAACTGTGAGATATAAAGTCATCATTGACCCTCCCCCCTTAGTTACTGTTGCTACGTCCGATAGGCCATCACATTCTCACGCAGTGAAAAATACATCGCAGAGCAAAGAGGAAACTGACAACATGCCAAAGTCTTTCAAATGTTGTCATTTTGTAAGAAATTCAGAGAATAAATATCGTTTTGTGGCTCTTTAATGTGTCATGACAGATCGCTGTAGGCACATGAACCGATCATCTCTTCCTCTTTACTACTTATAGCACGAAATAAACATGAATGAACATCAGAAGGTATCTAGTTTCAACCGCGCAAAGACGTCAATTCACACCATTTTTCAAGTTAAAGTCCACCGACATAAATCTACTCTTCTGTCTGGTTTGTTTGTTGAACAAAATAGCAGATTCGGCGTTATGATTGGTCAGATCGCCTCTCAATCAAACTCCCGGCGAAGGGTCAGTTGGAAGATACAAAGTTGCCTTTGTTTTACTCTAAAGCAGAAATGGGCCTCCGTGAATTGTGTTTATGCAGTTACATAAAAGTCCATTTTTTAGCTGTTGCGAGTTGTGCTTCATACATCGTTGAACAATAGATAATGGACCTTTTTTGCCAAAATTTTGCAAACATTACCACACCTTTACAATTACTTTATTTATATTCTACTCTGGAAACAGCCTTTCAAATGCAAAAGATGGTTTAAATTAGAGGGCAAGTGACCAAAAATAATACATGCTTGAGTATTTAACAAATAAAATTCAATGCAATCAGTTAACATATGTGACCCTGGAGCACAAAAGCAGTCTTAAGTCGCTGGGGTATATTTGTAGCAATAGCCAAAAAAACATTGTATGGGTCTAAGTAAAATCATTTCAGACTGACAGGAAAAGTAAAATGGCTCAAATAGCTCAAAAGCATGTAAACAAAAATCAAAAGACGCAACAAACAAAAATAGAAAAATCTGAAGACGCAATGGACACTTCCTGTGTAGACAGGAATTATAATCAGGATTGATTTCGATAAGACAAGTCGTGATGCATCGCATGTAGATATGGCATAATATTTCATGATTTACTGCAGTGACCAACCCTCCAGCTGGAAGACCAACTCCACTCCATCCCGAACGTCATGGACGACAAAGGAAGGCTGGGTCAGGCTGGGGTCGAAGCGGAAGTCCCGGTGACCGTGGAAAATCTTCTGCTCTGTGACCGTCTGCTCCGTGTCGGAGGGCAAGTCCTGCTGGTCGTGGTTGTAGACGCCCGTGCAGACCAGGATGGAGCTGCATCCTTCGGGCAGACGGTGATCGAACGAGCCTCCCACCATCACCCGTCCGGAGTGCTTGGCATCGTTGGACGCTTCGCACTGCAGGTCGCCGGTCACCTGGCTGCTCGAGCCGCCCTGCGCCTGCACCTGTGCACGGGTGTGATGCATCGCTTTGAGGTAGCGGTTGTACAGGTTTGCACCATAAATATCAGCCATTGGGTTGTCACTATAAGAGAGATACACATGCATCAAACATACTGAACGGTCAACAGTTTAAATAATTACGATTTTTTTTATGTTTCTGAAATGTGACCCTGGACCACAAAACCAGTCATAAGGGTAAATTTTTTGAAATTGAGATTTATACATCATCTGAAAGCTGAATAAATAGGATTGGATAAATCCAAGGTTTGTTAGGATAGGACAATATTTGGTCGAGATACAACTATTTGAAAATCTGGAATCTGAGGGTGCAAAAAAATCGAAATATTGAGAAAAATCACCTTTAATCGCCTTTGTCCAAATGAAGTTCTTAGCAATGCATATTACTAATCAAAAATTCAGTTTTGATATATTTACAGTAGGAAATTTACAAAATATCTTCATGGAACATGATCTTTACTTAATATCCTAATGAATTTTGGCATAAAAGAAAAATCTATAATTTTGACCCATACAATGTATTTTTGGCTATTGCTACAAATATACCCCAGCGACTTAACACTGCTTTTGTGCTCCAGGGTCACAAATAGCCTCTTCTGCTCACCAAGGTTGCACTGATTTGATGAAAAATACAGTAAAAACAGTAATATTGTGAAATATTATTACAATGTAAAATATCTGTTTTATTTGAATATATTGTAAAATGTAATTTATTTCTGTGATCAAAGCTGTATTTTCAGCATCATTACTCCAGTCTTCAGTCTCACATGATCTTCAGAAATCATTCTGATATGCTGATTTGCTGCTCAATAAACATTTCTGATTATTATCAGTGTTGAAAACAGTCGTGCTGCTTCATATTTTTGTGGAAACTGTGATACACTATCAATTTAAAAGTTTAGGGTAAGCAGGAGGAAATTAATACGGTTATACAATAAGGATGCATTAAATTGATCAAAGGTGACGGTAAAGACTTTTATGTCACAAATTTATATTTCAAATAAATGATGTTCTTCTTAACTTTCTACAGTATTTATCAAAGAATCCCAAAATAAATATATATTTGTTTCCACAAAAATATAAAGCAGCAAAACTTTCTATAACACTTTCTATAAGACTTATTAATAATAATCAGAAATGTTTTTTGAGCAGCAAATCAGCATATTAGAATGATTTCTGAAGATCATGTGACACTGAAGACTGGAGTAATGATGCTGAAAATCCAGCTTTGCATCAAATAAATAAATTACATTTTAAAATATATTCACACAGAAAACAGTTATTTTAATTTGTAATAATATTTCACAATATTACAGTTTTTACTGTATTTTCCATTCAAATAAATGCAGCCTTGGTGAACATTAGAGACTTCTTTCAAAAACATTAAAAAACATTAATTATTCCAAACTTCTGACCAGTAGTGTATGCTATGGATTGAGCTGCAAGGTCAATAAAATTTGCCCATTCAGTCTTCAAAACATTAAATCAATGACTCACCCAATGGCGTAAAGTCTCTCGACCGGTCGAGTCCAGCCCAGTTGCTCGGCTTGTTTTCTAATGAGCAGTTCAGCATAGTTGTAAGTCACAACGCTGGGCTTCCCGATCAGAGCCTCGTACTTTAGCTCACAGCCTGTTATCTTCTTATAGATGCTCTCCAGGCACACGAGGAACATGCCGTGACCGAATCTAATGGAAAACAAACATCAGTCCTTGTTAATTTGTCATTTAATGCTGTAGTTAACCACCATTTAGCCATTAGATTTATAAAAAATCATCCTGACACTGACCGAGGGTTTTTGGCTTCGGCCATCCACAGCAGATCCATGTTGCAGGCCAGCACAGGGATGTGTGGGTAATGCAGTGATGTCACGGGGTTTCCTGGCCTCCCATTGGTCAAGAGCACATCAGTGATCAGCTGTAAGTTGGTCTCCCACCTGATAGGCTCACCGAACAGGACGACAGCTATAAAGTGACAGTAAATGCAGATGAGTATGGACACAGATCTCAAGAACAGAAAGTGAAAGCAGCGGAAAGAAGCTTACCATCTATTGGCGGCAAATCCTTAGACGGGGGAATCTGGGGAATATTAAGTGCAATATATAGTCAAATGTTAAGATTAGGAATCTGTTCAAATAGTAATAGTGACACTTGCATATTCAAATATCGTTATTTCTACTCACCATGTCTTTGGGTCTGCGATTGTGATCCACTACATCCAGGAGAGGATTCGCCTCCCTGAGCATGTCAATGGTCACAACGTTCTTGAAACCTACACTGGAGTTTATTTTGTCAAGGACAATTAAAAACAAAAACAAACACACAAACAAAACTATATATATATATATATATATATGTGACCCTGGAGCACAAAAGCAGTCTTAAGTCTCTGGGGTATCACCTGGTCTGCTGACACCTGTGTGGAGAAATCAAACCGTCCCGTCTTACTCTCGGACACATGTAGACAAATCACATGTCATGAGTGGGAGGGTGTGAATATTTGTGGTTACACCTGTCGTCAGGTGTCTCACCTCAACCTCCAGAAGGTGAGACAGCTGCTCGGCCTTGGTTTCTCGGAGAGAGTTTCCCGCATTCGTCACAAACACCACAGGAACCTTGTATTTTCCATCGCCGTCCACCAGGTTCCTGAAACACTGTTTGGCTGCAGGGATGGGCGTCCGTCCGCGTACCAGCACCCCATCAATGTCAAACAGAAGCCCAAACAAGCTGCGATCCCGTTCACACACATCCTAAAAACAACATTCATTTAGGTTTCTATTAGCACACACTTTTATCAAAAGTGACCAACTGTTCTCATCGGTTAACCTCAGTATTCCAAGAGGTTAAATGTCTCGATCAAGGCCACAATGGTGATAGTTTCAGTAGGGATTTGAACCTACAACCTTCAGGTTACAGAGCAAATTCAGGCCCAAACTGAACCATGATGCCACACCGCCCCCTAATGACAAAGTGTTTAATTCCCGCCTTAAGACTCTTTTCACATTTCCTGCAAAAGGAAAGCGAAACCTTGAGAACGTCCCGCCACCTTTTGCTGTAAAATCCAGGTGAACGTTCATGTAGATCAATTGCAGAAGTTCCATTCTCACGCTAAATGTCAAAGGCTATGTGTTAAAACCCAGCACGCTGCTTACCTGAGCATCATTTCTGAGGATCAGAGGCTTTTGCACACTTTTTGTGAAACATTTTTGAGAATAAGAAGTGCATTTTTGTTGCTTTTCATTAAAAGTATATCAAATATTTGACCGACAATATTGTTTTATTAATTATAAAATTAAATATTAATTATAAAATATTATATATATATATATATATATATATATATAATATTTTATAATTAATATAATTAAAATGATCAAATATTACATCTAAAATAAGAAAATGAATATAATTATAATATATACAGTGGGTACGGAAAGTATTCAGACCCCCTTAAATTTCTCACTCTTTGTTATATTGCAGCCATTTGCTAAAATCATTTAAGTTAATTTTTTTTCCTC